TTTATTCAATTTTGTGGGGAATTTGAAAGGTGCTACTGAGAGATTTTGCGTATTAGACTAGTAAATCCAAAAATGATCGTAAAACAAGCAGTAGCGTTTCTACTTAGGTTTCAAAGAGAGGGGGGGGGGGCATTCTCCCTCAGATCAGAGGTTTCGCCCTCCCATCCCAATCCCACTCGCCCGCATCAACCTCCCCCACTTTCAATTTTTAACATTAGACATTAGGAAAGTATTGTATGTGTCCTTGGCAATTCTGAGACCAGTACTCGCCCCCTCCCCCAACTAATGATTCATAGAAAATCTACTGAACACATTGTTATTGATCGCATATGACTGCTTGAGAATATTCACCCACAAACAATAACAAATACTCATGCACGTGAAATATTCAAGGTCATTTGAGATCAAATCACTTGACAAAACAAACACACACAAAAAATCTTTCAAGATGTCCGGACATGAATTGGAATATTATATATCTTTTCAAGGTAAATAGACTATAATATATCATTATTTTATTATTTTGTCATGTATTGGTATCTTTACTTGTTTAGGGGTGGACATTGTACTCATTTCATCTCAATATAAGTTGATTTGGTTGACGTGTGAATAACAATTTGAATAAGTACGTCTTCATATCATTGCTCTCCATTTCCCTAAAATGGCTAATAACAGTATGGAATATACTTGCGAACTTGTATGATATTGTTTCATGATTTACACACAATTCGCGCATTTAAAACTTCTATTAGATTATATATTAATAGTCTGTCCAGAATGCAGGCCATTTTTACATGATATTTCCCGGAGAGGTTCGTTTATTTCAAATGTAAAATTTCCACACACTATACATTAACAAACAAACCATAATTCCCTTCAAGAAATCTCCCGTAAAAACGTCCAACATTACACACTGAAAAATTTGAAGAAAAAAACACACATGTATTTCTTAATAATAAGTAATTAATTAATTACTTACTTAAATCGGTTGAAATATTCATCAACCCCATTTTTGGAGTAAATAATATACCCAAGGAGAAAGGGTAGTAAACATACATGAAAGTTATTTTCAAGAGAATTGGAATATCAGTACGATTTTGAGGCTGATATTCCAATTCTCATAAAAATAATGGGAAAAATTAAAAAAACTTTCTACTTCGCTTAAACAATAACATGTAATGAACGAACTGATAAAGTTCATATGTATATTGAATTATGCTTATTTTATTAAAGTGAATTTGATTAAAACAGAACTGATAATATAAGAATGCCTTTGAGTTTTTAAATATGTTAACATCAGCACACATTGTCTTTTTGTCATTATCTACACTTACGGCGATTGGCGAATGTCACGAAATAACACATTTCTTTGAAACGAAGTGGGTGTGCAATAGGGGAAAGAAACTAGTTTCATGGATAGTCGGGTTGCTCTATCCACTCCGTTTCCTACTTAGATACTCATGAATCGTCAAAACTACAACAAGTCAGACACATTAATTGACATACATAATATGTTATACACGTATTACAATCCATTTATAGAAATAGAGATGTTCAAACAGAACCTTAAAAACACACGCGATCTTCAGACATCTGACCTATTTTCGGCGTGCGTTCCTACGTAAGATGGACAAATAGAATTCTCATGCCTACACTCCGAGACGAATCCCTTTATATGTAGCTTCGATTGCAACCACGAGTATATTTTGGGTTGTGATTAAAAGATTTCATCTCAATTGTCGGTTTGAAGGTTTGATTATAGGCCGAGAAGTCTAAGGTTCGTTGAATCCTACTGTTAGACATACAAATATAACTAACAGTCGGTTTGAAGGTTTGATTATAGGCCGAGAAGTCTAAGGTTCGTTGAATCCTACTGTTAGACATACAAATATAACTAACAGTATATAGTTGTGATAATTCTGAATAGTTTAGAGTTAAATTCAGTTTGGTAAGCACCCTAAAAATTATGAAATTCGGGTTAACATAAAAAAAATAATTGAATTAATACATCACAATGTCACAAATTTGGAGTCAAAAAGTTTTAATTTTATTTCATTTTTTTTCCACTGAGGTGCTGCACATTTAAGGCTATCACCATAAAGTTTGAAGAAAGTTTTAGGTGGTTAAACCATGATTCAATAACGGAAAATATCAGTAATCCCGATTGAAATTACTCGGGATTTTTCGGTAATTTTCGGAAGGACCTCTGAATACATGGTCGAGCTTTCCAATCCGTTTGCGGAAAATATCGATAGTCCCGTTTACAATACTCGGGATTTCTTTGGAAGTTTTGTATTGCTGCTTAGACCTCTGTCTTGAATTAAGTGAAGAGCTCATAATTACTGTTCGCGGAAAATACCAGATAATCCCGATTACATGAAGGCTCCAGAACACAACTAAATAAATCATTTTGACGTACTTAAATAGAGTTCCGTACCTTTAATGACAATTCCATCTATCTCACCTTGTTCCGCTCACACAGGTGTTGTATTCAGCTCTTTGCACTCTGTCTCGTGCAATTACTGCAAGTCTTTCGGAATTAGCAAGACGTACATTGTGAAGTGTCCTTTCTAACAGAAATAAACCTTGTCTGTCTTAGTATTTTTAGAACTGTAGGCGTCCAATATGTCGACAAAAAGACGTGAACTATTGAGGTACTCGGAATACAAGTTTAAGCACTGTAGTGAACATAAGGAATTATTGAATCAGAAAAGTGTTACGTTTATCGTGCAAAGCCCCGATATTTTAATGGAAATTTCACACAAGCCAGTAAAAACAATCTGCAATTAAATTACCCCTCGATCCAACCTTTACCAACTGACATAAATTTGGCTTTATTGACACCATAATTGTATAGAGTATGACCAAAAATAATTTAGTTTTTATTATAATGATAGGCCATTTTTAACCTGACATTAGCCCCCATCCGAAGGTTTCATCTCGACCTATGCCGGGATTAAACCCTGACCCCTCAGGTTAGCGAGCAAGTGTCAGGATGTAAATTTGCATTCACGGAACTTTAGTATTTTCATCTCGTTTTCTGTTACGTTGATTTGTCATTTGAATGTGTTCATTCTTTTTATTTTTATAAAAACAGTACTACAAAGTTGTAAGTTGTGTTACTGTATAGATAGTCCGAGATGCCATAATTATATCAAGGTTCCTACTCGAAACTGTTCAAATGAAACAAAAACGACTTTAGCTTATTCGCTTATTATCATTTGGTATATAAGTTGGTAATGCAGGGCTTTTCAATATCGGAATATTTCAAAATTTGACTACAAAATGACTTAGATAATGAGCGACACACAATATTAGTCTTGATTACGGACTACATTTCTATTAAAATTATGACCCTTTGACCACCTGTTGATTCTTCGGATCAATGCTGCACGTGCCAGATGAAGAAGGTGGTGTGAATTTCATTTTGTTACAGAACGAATTCTGTGTATTTAACTTTAGGTAAGATATTGAAACATCTCTGAACCTTTCTGAGACTTTTGTCTAATAAAATTTCTCTTGAATTCATTCACTATTATAACAAATTCAGTAACATTTTCAATTTTACAAATGTATAGTCCGAAATATTCTGTACTTCTTCGTGCTTGGTCTTTCTTTTCCCAATTGTCATTTCATTTAATCACCCACTCATTCTAATTGTTATTTTACTTCACTCATTCATTCATTTATTCATTTATTCAATCGGATTTTTGTATCTAAATAAAGTGCCACCAACATGAAGTAAGCCATTGTCAATGCAGGTCGAGACTTTGCGCTGTATCTTCACAATGTCAAGCTCATACGAA